ACTGAATTCAAGAGCAATAATGTACTGAACTAGTTATGAGTATTCCAGTTCATGGCGAGACACTTTAAACATGATCATGAAGATCAGAGAACAGTTGCTGCAACTTGCAGAACAAAGACACAACTAAGGGCTTCCTCTTACCTCCCTGCCAGAATCCCTCATTCCCAATCTGTCCCGCACCCTTCCACAGGCATGACTGTCCTGTCCATAACACACAACTGCCACACCACTGTTTGGTTTCAGTGGCCTCCTGGTTACAACCACCTCACTGAAAAGGAATGCTACAGGGCTACATAAGCACTGCACGAACATAACACACAGCATCTACCTGTAAACCCCTCCTTGCTATTTCAGTTTTCTTCAAAGGTTTTGTCCTCAGTAGTACTATGTGGTTCTTTACAGTTGAAATTTAATTCTATTCTGGATGGCTTCTCTTCACTTTATTCCTTTCATTTAGATTTTTTTTTTTTAGTATCTGTGAAAGACTCCAGGCTGAAACAACACACATTCATAGGTACGTTATTTTCACAGTTACTAGTGCACTTCAGAAAATACGTTTCCTTTTAAATAGAGTTTTCAAATATCCAGTATAACTTTCTGTCCTTTAATTTTTCCTGTATGACCTTCAAAATAATGGAGAAGAAAGGCCAGTTCATCGATGGAGTTGGCAGCTGTGTACTGGCTGAAACTGAGATACCCCAAAAAGTACAGCAAGAGATAAAAAACAAAACAAAACACACACAAAAAGTGTGAGTGAAATGGGAAGAGATTAAAAGGCAGTGTTAACTGTGAAAAAAAATACTCCTTATCATCACGTAACCTCTGCAGGACAAATTCCAACAAACACTGTTGTTTCAAAAACCCTGAAGCTGTCTAGCCACAATAAGATACTAATGGGGAATGCTGGAAATGTATTTAATAGCCAATTTCAGACTAGGTACAGGAACTGCAGAGATACTCACTTCATAAAGGAAAAGCCAGAAGTATTTAAGTGATGTTTCACATCTATTTGCATAGCTAACGCGTTACAGCTTTTACATCAAGTAAAGCCTACTGATGTCACATGAACCCATTCAAGAGTCATATGAACTCATATGAGAAATTGCTGGTGCTTGAATCTGCTCTCTCGTGTTAGTATTACTGACTCGGACTCATGCACCTAAAAATCAAATGAGATCATGCTAATTCTATCTCTAGATAGAAATCTTACTCCAGTCTCGAACAGTCCCATTTTAGTTTCCACAAGCTTCTTTCTCCACAGATGCAATTAAGAAAAATGAAAACCAAAATTAAAAGTAAAAATTAAGAAAAAAAAACACAGCCACATTAAAAATTACCTGTGAGGTCCCTTTGAAACATTAACAAGGCAATGTAGATTAAAACCTTCATTCTCTCATTTGTGTGTATGTTTACATAATGTTATATACACACAGATGCTGGTTAGAACAGATTTTCTCTGAACTATACAGTACAATACACCGTATGTATTATGCTGTTATATGTAAATCAACAGCAATTAAACTGTAAAGCAATTGACATATCAAATGAAGACATTATTGGAGATTTCAGTTCACTCATTATCCTGCTAAATTCAAGCACTCTGGCACAGCAAGGTTAGTTTATCTCGTTTCTCCTCTGACTGTACTTACACTATCTCATTTTGGCTTTAGAACCACTTTTTGCATGGATAAAACTGCCACACACTGCACTTCGTGCCCTACTCCTGCCTCTTTACTGTCCTTAACTGTTGGTGCCTGAGCAACTGACAAGATAAAAGGGAGTATTTTTAACTATGATCAGCTCAACAATCCAGTCTGCAGCATCACTCCATGAACAATTTCATAAATTAAAAACCAGGGGAATTGCATATTGAGTACAGAAGTGCAAAAAACGATTTGGAAGAAAAGTTTCAGATATCAAACATTGCATGCCTGAAGCACAAGGCCAACAAACACCTGAAAGCAGCATCAACCAGCTGAGTTAAAGGAGAAGCAGATCCACCTTCTCCCAACAAGTTTTTATTCCTGCCTGTGTACCATTCTCTCCTTCACAGGTACATGAGCACTCCATGCAGCTTCCATGGCAACTGGATAAGGCGGATTTAAATTACCCTGAGTAAAAAAGATAATCCAGACAAAAATCCCACAACATTTTACAGCTGCATCCAGCTTTCTGAAACACACCCTTCAGGGAGCTCTACTAAGGGAAAGGAAGGGAGCAGCATGGGAACAAGAGTAAGGCAGGATGCATTTCTTCCTCCTGCAAATGTGCCAGTTTATAGTCCAGGTTTGGGATGAAGTTCCAGAGCAGGATGTTTGGATTTAACCAGGAATTTCTACAGTCAAAAGACCAGCCTGTTTTCTTGCATCAGATCTGCAGACTGGGCTTTTGCACAATCAACTCAGCCTTAGTTTCCAGTTGGATCACCTTCCTGAACTAGCTCACTGCAACAGCACAGAGATACTCCAGCTGAAGCCAGGGGAGTAGAAAAGTGTAGGACTGTGACAACCCTGACAGTTCCCATGCTGCAGAGTACCTGGCTTAGATGTGCTGCTCAACTGGCTTTACTCCCTCTGACTGTACCTTCAAACCTGTCCCATCTTGATCCATGATTTTAAATCCTTTGTAACTAAAAGTTAGTTAAAGTTAAATGGCCTTTTGCTAATAGTTATTAAATGCTAAAGTATTACAAATATATTTATTATAGGGCTAAACAAAACACTTCTAACATGCAGCTCCTCACAAGTTCTGTTACATGGCATTATTTTTAAAATTATTAAATAACAGAAAGAGCAGACAAAAAGCTACCTTGTCATTACATCAGAAACTTTTAATTCTAATTTTTCTTCTGTTTCAAAGCATTTAAAGAAAAATTCATTTCAGAATAGACAAACAGGCCTCTACTGGACTTCAGGAAGTAATTAACTTGTTTCTCAAAGCCCTTTATATCCCCAAGACACTGACTACCATCATTTACTTCCCAGAGATGACAACATCGGTATATGCAGGAGCTAGACCTTATTACCCCTTAGTATCTCTCCTTTGCAGCTAACGCCAGCCCAGAACAGTAGTCACTAATGCTCTAAACTATCGTTCATTTTTTGGTTGTATCATGTACATCCTACGTGATTTGAGGCAAATCACTGAATCACTTTGTTCCTCAGCTGCCACCAGTGTGGATAATATGCACTTACTCATGAATACAGGAGATCGTCACATCCTTCAGCTCCTTTTCCACCTGCCCAACCCATACTCAATCTCCGAGCTGTGATCCCCTCCCCACACTGAACAGCAGCATTTTGCGTTCTAGCTATCCAGCCGACACATGCATCCACTGTGGTGCAAAGCACGTGTATCGCATGGGGAACCACAGACAGTAAATTACTGAGGAATAAAGCATCCTATTACCACCCCACCATAATGAATCCACACTAAACACTAACAGATGCCAAAGACCATCCCGCCTCGCGTGTTTTGATACTTGCTGGGAGCCCACAGCCGACTCACAGTGCACACCTGCGGAGTCAGCTGACCCGGCCCTGCCACAGCCTCGGCGAGACCCGAGTCCCCCGTTCCGAACAAACCCCAGGACCCAGAGGCGCTCCAGCCCTGGGATTTAAAGCCTCGCAAGCCCGGCGGGGGTGGAGGGCAGCGGGGTCCGGCCCGCACTCACCTCGCCTGTTCTTGGTGCCGTGCTGCCGGGCTACCGCCAGCTCCCGCTCGATCCGCGTCTCCAGGTACTCCTGCTTCTTGCTGAGCATCTCCTCCGTCTCACGCAGCCGGGCCAGAGCCTCCTGCGGCGAAGGCCCTCCGCGGCCCTTGGAGGCGGCCGAGCCGCCCCCCTTGAAAAACCTGGAGATCTTGCTCATGGCGGCGGTCCCGGTTCGGCGACCGCCGACGGAAAGGTCTAGCCGGCCCGGCCCGCAGAAACCTCCCCGGCCGGCACAAGCCGTGACGGCACTTCCTGAGCCCAGGGCTGGCGGCACCGCACCTGGCGGCAGGGCGGTCCCGAGGGCGGCCCCGAGGAGGCCGAGCTGCCGCTGCTCTCCGCCACCTTCGGGCAGGGCAGGAGGAGCCGGGGAGCTCCGCGGGGCAGCCGTAGGGACCCGGGTCGGGCGGGTGGTGCCCCCGCTGCGGAGGCGGCTGCTGAGTTTGTGTTTCCCCCCCATTTTTTCCCCGTGTCACAGAATCACGGAATGGTAAGGTTAGAAGGGACCACAGTGGGTCATCTGGTCCAACCTCCCTGCTCAAGCAGAGTCATCTTAGAGCACAGGATTGTGTCCAGACGGTTCTTGAATGTCTCCAGCCAGACATTCTCTCTGGGTAACTTGTTCCAGTGCTCGGTCACCTGCACAGTAGAGTTCTTCCTCAGCCTAACTCTCTCAGTCTTTACTCGTAAGAGACATGCTCAAGTCCCTTGATCACCTTTGTAGCTCTCCACTGGATCAGCTCCAGGAGCTCCACGTCTCTCTTCTTCTGAGGGGCCCAGAACTGGACACATGCCGCAGGAAGGTGTGTTTTGTGAGAGCAGCGCACTAAAGCACAGGCGTGCACGCCGGTCAAGGCTGGGAAAATAACACTGAATTTTGAAGGAATGTGGCTTTTTACAGAAGTGGCGGGTGCGCCGCTAAAGGACACCGCAGGTCACAGGATGCAAGAAGCGCCTCGGAATGCCGGGCTGCCTCCCATCCGCCTCGGGAAGAGGCCTTGCTCCAAGCGACGACGCAAACAGCGACAGAAGAAAGACACAAGACATGTTTTCCCCTGTAACAGCGCCCGAGGAGCACCAACCGCGGCTCTGGGCTCACTGAAGTCTGAAGCGCCGACACGGCCTGCTCAGCGCAGATTCCGCAGAGCCCGGCGCAGCAGCCGCTCCTGCCGGCGCTCCAGCACCTCCCAAGTCTGCGAGACCAGCCCAGTCCTCTGAGCGGGCGGGCAGACTTTCAGCATCCCCCGCCCCGGGGCGGGTCCCGCCGGCCCCTCCCCAGCGCGGCCCCGCCCGTCGCCGCCGCTTCTCCACCTCCCCGCCCGCCTCCTGCGTCCCGCGGCCATGGCGGAGCTGGAGCTGGGGCAGCACTGCGGGGTGCCCGACTGCCGCCAGCTCGGTAAGGGACAGCACGGCGGAGGCGGGGGTGGTGAGCCGGGGCGGTGCGGGGGTTGTGTGGTGGTTTCTCCCCGCTCAGGGAGTCCTCCGTGCTGCTGCAGCCCTGCGCGGCCCAGTGCCAGGGTCTGTTGACTCGGCTGTATCCCTGGCTGGTTAATCCCCTGCTTTCCCGGTCCTCCTCCTTGCTTGCCTTCGGTGATCTCGGAAAGTGTCACTGAAAATGTAATCTCTCGGAAAGAGGCAGCAAAACCCCCTGTACCGAAAGCTTTCTGATGGGACCACTGGGTCTTAGGGATGAAGTGACCTGAGCTCTGTAATCCAGTTGCATGATGGTCCCTTAACATCAAATCTGAAGGATGGAGACGCGGAGTAATGGGCTAGAGCAGAGGGCATTTGCTGCCATTGGTGATGTGGTTGAATTCAGCAGACAACAAAGTGATTTTATCTCTAAGAACTGATGCAGTAGGCGGGAGGGGGTGTGTACATACATGCAATTTAAATTACAAGGATGGTATGTATAATATAATATGAAGAGAAGAAGGGGCAGGATCGTCATGCCTTGTCAAATGGAGAAGATCCTATCCCTTCCAAAGAGCCATCTCCACCAGTTGGCAACCTGTAAAATAAAAATGTAAATTGTCCTATGTAAAAAAATAGTATTCTAAGTGGTCTCACAATAAATTACGTTTTTGGAATAACAAACTAGTAAGTTTGGTGGCTAGCCAAATGTTCCAGTGTCATAGTTTGATATTTTAAAAAACTTTAATTTAAAGCCTAATTCCAACTTCTAGAATGTATGTAAGTATGATTTACCTACTCATATGTTTTTCTGTTCTACTGATTATGGGAGTTAACAGTGTAACTGTCACAAAAGACACTTAAGTAAAGTGTAGATGCAGTTGCTAAATATCCTTGTAAAGATAGCTACCCTATGATATAGGTAAGCAAAAGTTAATCATGTGAAAATTAAGCTAGAAACTACTAGCAAAACAAAAACCGTGTTGTCGAACTGAAAACAAATCTCTTTGTTTCAGATTTTCTCCCCTTTATATGTGATGGCTGTTCAGGTGTCTTTTGGTAAGTTCGAGTACCTCAAATTGTAAGGAACATATAAGAATCAACAAGTCCAACTCCCTGCTCTGCACAGGACTAAAACTAAACACTAAGGAGTGTCATTCAGACACTCCTTGAACTCTGACAGGTTTGGTGCTGTCACCACTTCCCTGTGGTGCCTGTTCCAGTGCCCAACCACCCTCTCGGTGAAAAACCTTTTCCTAATGTTCAACCTGAACTTCCCATGATGCAGCTTCTTTCCATGTCGGTACTGGTCACCAGAGGAGCTCAGCACCTTCCTGCTCTGCTGCCCTTCTTGAGGAATCTGTAGGCTGCGATGAGGTCACCCTCAGTCTGGTCTTTTCCAAGGTGAACAAACTAAGTGACCTCAGTTTTCCTCCTAAGTCTGGCCCTTGAGGCCTTTCACCATCTTGGTCACTCTCTAAACACACTCTAATAGTCTGACATCCTTTCTATATTGTGGCACCCAGAACTGCCCACGGTACTTGTGTGAGGCCACACAAGTGCACTGTATAGTTGGGATAGTCACCTCCCTCAGCCATCTAGCAATGCTGTGCTTGGTATTCCCCAGAACATGGTTGGCTCTTTTGGCTGCCAGGGCACATTGTTGGCTCATATTCAACTTGCCATCGACCCAAACCCAGAGATCTCTTTCTGCAGGGCTGCTTTCCAGCCTCTCATCCCCCAGTTTGTATGTATAACCAGGATTACCTCATCCCAGGTGAAGAATCCTGCACTTGCTCTTGTTAAATTTCATACAGTTGGTGACTGCCCAGGTCTTTAGTTTGTCCAGAATCTGTCTGTAAGACTTCACCCTCCAGGGCTCCACAGCTACTCCTTGTTTAGTGTTGTTGGCAAACTTAACATGTGTCCAAATCATTTATAAAAAATTAAAGAGCACTGGCCCTAAAATTGAGCTCTGGGGAACTGTGCTGGTGACTGGCCGCCAGCCTGATGCAATTGCATTTATTGTAACGCTTTGAACCCAAACCATCAGCCACCCACTGTATTATGGACTTGCCTAACTGTGTGCAGGATGTTTTGTTCAGAAAGACACTGTGAGAGACAGTGTCAAAAGCTTTGCTGAAATGCAAAACACCACATCTATGGGCTTCCCAAGGTCAACTTGATGAGTAGCCTTGTCATAAAAGGAGGTGGCTGGATATTTTTAGTTCCAGTTCAACCTTCCAAGGTTGAAATTGGGGCCTGAACTTTGATTTACACACTTCAGATAGGCAGAAGGCAACTGAGTTAAACTCAGGTAGACTGAGGGCAGATTTCACTTCTAAAACATTGTAAGCCCTCACGGGATTTCTGCTGTTGTGGATAGTGATTAAAAATCCATTGAAATGGACAAACTCGAGTTGCTTTGAACTGAATTCTTAAGCATACTAATGTCTTTATTCTCTTGAAGTGGTTTGTTTTCTTGAGGCAAAAGTTCCAAGAGCTAAATGTTTTACAGACTGAGGAAGAGTATGATCAGTCAGTCATCCAGGACGTTAAATGCAGATGTTAGAACAAACTTTGTAGAAGATTCATTATCTAATTAAAGTGTTGCCATGATAAAAGTAGTCAGATCACTCTTTAAATAGTTGAATGTTTTCACAAATGATTTTCTTTTCCTGAAATGTCTCTTCTTTTTCCACAAAGCCTTCAGCACAGGAGCCGAGATGCTCATGGATGTTCTGAGGTAATCTAATAATATATGACCTGCCTTAAAATTAGCTGTGTGTTTTCAGACTAGATGAATACATATATAAGTATGCATTATTTAACTGTGAATGTGAAAAGCTTAAAAAAATGAATCTACTCTTTCTCTGCCTCTCAGAAGTAAATTGAGTTTGAGTAGAAAGATGGTTCTATTTCTAACTCTGAGCTAAACATAACCAGGACAAAAGTAGGAGAATAGAATGGAGAGCTACCGCAGTTCTTTGGTAAGGGTGTATGGTGACTTGTATCTGTAGTATCTGTTTACACAAAATATTTTGTACTAATGCCTAGGTGAATATAAGAAACAATTCTGTGAAACCTGATCAGCACAGGTCTTATCCCTGCTCATACAAGGACTGCAATGGAAAGGAGCTTTTGCCAGTTTTATGCCCCTACTGTGGAAAACATTTTTGTCTAAGGTGAGTGGAACAGGGTGTTTAAACATGAATACTCGTTCATTAGTGTACGGAAAAGGTATTAAAAGTTTTATGCTGTTGTTTACAGACATCGCCATCAATCAGACCACGAATGTGAGAAGCTGGACACGCCAAAACCTCGAATGGCTGCTACCCAGCAGCTAGTTAAACATATTATAGGCAAGTACAGCAGGATATGTATTCTGCAATTTTCTTCAGAAGACTGTTTGAACTTCTGACCTCCTTTGAAGGGGTCAGGTTCAACGAAATAAAAAAAGATAGGGGTTCCTTGGTTAAATAGCCCTAAAGTCATGTCACATGTAATACTGTTCATTTATGCTGAGACGAGGCAACAGTATGAAGAGAATTTTTAAAGATTACATAGGGCTCAAATTTCTTTCAAAAGTATTATCTTGTTCTTATTCTACAAATACTCTAATGTAATGAACTGTACCTAGTCATTATTATTTACATATTGATTCATGTGCAAATAAAGCAGTTGTGTTGGGTGTGCATGCCAGTCTGTTAGGATTATATCTACACAACCAAAATGGCAAAAAAAAAAAAAGTCACTCTATAATATTATATTTTGCAGATTTTAAACAAATTCTAGGATGGGAAAGAGAATAAACAAAACTGCCCAACTGGACAGTGAGATTTTGTAGAAAGAAGGACCTGAAGCTGTTGTCATATGAATGCTGTGCTGGCCACAGTTGTTGAAATTTTTGAATTTATATCTATTTGGCTTTTGCAGCCTGTCATGATAATGTTCATCTACTTTTCAGTGTAAAGGAGTTCTGCTAGAACTGTAACAATTCCAAATATTCTTGAATAGAAGTATCTGGTAGATGACCTTGGGAGGACATGAAGGGACATGAAAGGGATGGGAACCCTGGAGATACAATGAGGCCCAGTAGGCAAATTCTAAGATATGTTCAGGAAACAGTCTGAATCATCATGCTAACAGGAATAATATTGTTCTCAGATTCTAAAAAAAGTGAGGAAGCAAAAAGCAAAAAACGCAAAGGAGCGAAAAACAGTGAGACTGCAGCAAAAGTGGCATTAATGAAACTGAAAATGCATGCATGTGGAGACAAGTCTTTGCCGCAGGTCAGTGATGTTTGTTTTCAATAATTGAATTCTCAAAGGAAATGGAAAATTTTCTTCTGGATTCCTTTCCCCATCCACGGCGTGGGGCTGGCCCAGTTCTAGTTCCATTTCCATCTGAAGAACCATTGCGACGCTTTGAGGGATGGGGAAAGGAATCTCCAGGGGTATCTCAGGGGTTTTTTTCAGGCCCTGAGCCTGGAGGGGAGAGGTGCTCCCCCCTCCCCCCCCCCGCACGTGGCCCCATGGCCGGCAGGGAGACAGGACACAGGACACCGGGTGTGGAGAGGAGGCAAGAGAGAGTTTATTGTGGGGGATGTTACATTTATAGGGTTTAGGAGGATTCACAGAGTAACCAATTAGAAGTCTCAAGGGGTTTACAGGAACACCCAATCACAGGAAGAGGTTAACAAAGGCCAATGGGACACACCTCAGGACACCTTCCCAGGACATTCCTGCATGGATAACAAAGGGGGTGCTGGGAAGAAGAAGCATGTGTTTGCAAAGACACCACCAAAAGCCATTTTAAAACCTGTTTAAACCACAGTTTTCCCATATAATGCAGGTTTAATGCTACAATTTTCTAAATTTATTGATCTTCATCTAGTTCCCTCAGTTTGGTTTTGGATTTAATTTTTAAATCCTACAGTCACTTACATATATTTCAGTCTGGTCCCCAAAAGTAATCTCACTAGTCTTATGTGTGTTATAAGATGTCTGTGTGGAGTTTGGGTCAAATTTTTTTATTTTATAGTAGAAATGTATTGTCCTGCTACATGGCTGTCACCCAACACTGTGGGGACAGACAAGTTCTTTTCCTTGGCAGAATGATGACAGCACTAAGTTGCATTAAAACTTTATTATTTTAGCAGAATTTGATGATCATCAGAATTTTATTATTAGAGTAGAACATGATTTTTACGATCACTGTAACACAATTTTGTAGGTAGCACAGCACAGAATTGTATAGCACATCTTAGCTGCTTATGGTTCCTAATCACCTGGACCCTCTGCAGATTGGGTCATTGGGTCAAATCTTAATACTTGGCTTGCTGTTTTAATATTTGAGTGATCGTCTAGACTGGAAACATGTAATTGCCTGGTTTTCCCACCCAGACTGAATTTATATGTTGGGGCATTTGCAGTGCACCATACGTTCTTATCGTAAGAATGTGCCTTAGAAGTTTGAGTTTGATAATTTGGAAAGCTGGGGAGTGAGTACTTCAACTTAGGTTGGTACCAAGGTGTTTCAGGACCAGGTTCAGCTACCCATCCAGAATTAGCATCTGAAGATTCAGGGTGTTGTAAACAATACAATTTGTATGTGTAAAAAACCCATTTGAGAAATGAACTTCATAAACTGAATGACACGATTATCATCCCGTTCTTGAAACAGAGAGGAAGAAGGAACAAATAAGGTCAGTAAAGTACAGTGGGTATTGTGTTATCTTTTTACAGCTGAGGGTTCTACAAAGGTGAAGTCATGATTCCTTGGGCACACTCCAGGTTTAGACTTGCAGTCCATCATATATGTGCCTGCAGCGGGAGAGGATTGGATTTGATGATCTCAGTCTCTCAGTCATTTATATTCTGCAGTAAAATGGTCCTGATGGAATAGAACAAGTTTCAGTTGGTAATTCTGGGGCTGAAGTTTAAGGTTTTTTACTGAAAAACTATTAGATGTGTATGACTGGAATTACGTGTTTCTTCTGTGAATAATTTTGGTTTATTTTTCATGTTTTTCTAGGCAGAAAGAATTTACTTTCAAGTATTTTTACCAAAGGGGAACAAAGAGAAAAGCAAACCTATGTTCTTTTGCAGTAAGTGGAGTGTTGGCAAAGTAGTAGATTTTGCAGCTTCCTTAGCAAGCCTTAAAAATGACAACAACAAATCAACATCCCAGGTAAATCAGTAATAACTAACACTTTCCAGGTTATTGCATTTTGATTTTAGTTTTCTTTAGCCTTTTGTCCCTCCTCCACCCCACGTCTTTCATCTTGGATAGGCAAATCTTGATGTTAATTTCTGTGCTATTTGTCTTACAGAAATTGAGATTATGCCATACTGTCTCTGGAGAAGCCTTGCCATTTGAACATACACTGGAAACATGGCTATCTGATAAAGACTATCCACTGTACAATGGAGGAAATATAATTCTGGAATATCTTGATAATGATGTTCTATTTATAGAAGATACAGAGTCATACTTTAGTTAGTAAATTATCACCAAAAAAATAAGATTTTTCAGAAGCATGGTATTTGAGCAAGTCCATTTTTCTTTTAAAATCACTGATATGCCAGAATCTCTCCTCAGTTTTAAAGACACAGTTCCCATCAATTTCTAAGTTGCTTGACTGACAGAGGAACAAAGTCCTGAAAGGAAAACTAGTTATTATAATAACTAATATTACAGATATTTACATTCTAGAATAACTTCTTCCTCTATTGAGCTGTAAAATATCAAGAATGTTTTCTTAATTTTTATATTTATTTTTTATAAATGGTGGGGACAGTATGTATTAATAAATAATGGAAATGTAAACTTGCAGTGTACCAGTTCTTTGAAGGAAAGAAACACACTATTGCAGCATCCTTTCTATGTCTACAAGAACAGATTTCATTGAGTTTGGAAACCAGCACTGTCCATATCCCAGGTCCACACTTTCTTCTCGTAATAGCTTAAAGACGTTTAGAAGGAAAGCTTTCTGAAGCAAGAGTAAATCCACACAGATGTCTTCCTTGTGTTTGCAAATCTCATTGTGTGATTAGGTGGGGGATAAAAAGAGAACTTGAAATTATCCTTTTCTAATTCCTGTGTAAAAGAGCAATAAATATGGTCAGAGAGGAAGAAATATAATTTAACTAGAAGGGTAGCATTTAACAGTTTGGAATATCATCTGGGCACTTCCAGCTGTAGGTAAATCCTCTTCAGCAGTCAGCAAGGTGATTTACTAAGTTTTAAAGTGGTTATTTACAGTGATTGTACATAAAAAAGTTACACCTCTGGGTGAATAAGAATGACCTATACAATTACTGACTTCCTCAGTTGTTGGTGTCCTGTTTGTTGGCCATTAAGAAGGTAGTTCGTAATATCAGTAGTTGATGTACTCCAGATTTTGGATCTCTTTCAAAGCTGGATTGAAAATTCAAAGTGAACATAGGAAGTAAGAACCATGAGATCATTTTTATCACAGTCACAGCTGTTTTGAATTGCTGAAACACAAAACCACGTAATGTGGCACACAAATAGTAGGGCCAGCACTCTTCTAACTGTATATAACCAAGGAGCCTTGCTTTATCTTTCTGAACAGACCTGTTACAACATAAACTCGTCCTCCAGTGGCCTTGAGCCTATCTCTGTTTAAGCTAGAGGACTAGAACCCTTTCAAGACTAATCCTTCCAATTTGCTTTCACCTGTTTACAACTATTCTGTCAATATTCTCCAAGAAAATGACAGTGAATGAACAGATGTGAACAGAGCAGTGGAAAGCACAAGCCTCAGCTTTATTTGCAAAGCTGTAGTGTATTTCTGCTGCTCTGTGGGGCTGTGCAGAGTGGAAGAACTACTGAAGCAAACCTATTCATCGGATACTAAAGAGGCTTAGCAAGATTTTCAGCTGCAGCATGGAAGGTGTGATCCATTGCTACTGAAATGACCTAGTGTTTTGTGATTAGAGCACAGTATTCAGACCACGGGGGAGAAATCTCTGTCTTCGAAGCCTGACTCACTGCTCGATCAGTGTGACTCACCTTTAAATAGGTTTGAAAAGGGAAGAGCTCCCTTTCTTTTTCAGACAATGGGGCACTTTCTTTCAGGCGACTATCTTCATGTGCTATTCTCACGTTTGTAAGGATGTTCCAGATTCTACGTGCACCATGACTGAATGTACTCAGTGACACCTGGAGGTGTAACTGGGCCACAGGGAGATGAATGTCTACATTGTTCAAAAATGTCAATATGATGCATCCCAAGGACATTGTCCTGCCACTGCAGGACATACACAGAAGTGGGGAAAAATTCTACGAAGAGGGCAGGGGACATAAGGTTAAGGAATATTGGTGAGAAATGGAGTTTTGTGAGAAATGGAGTTTCAGTTCAGAGAGCTCACCCGAGGCGGAGAGATGTACGACTCACACATGCAAGTGCAGATGGACAATTCACCACAGTCACTTGGGCATTCACCAAATCTGGATTTGGTGGTTGGGCTCATTCAGTTACCACATTCACTAACTGAGAAAAAGTGTCCAGGTTTTCCTCCAGTATGTGTTTGCCTAAATGGAAACAATATCCATGTTGGATTGTGGTTCATTTATACCAGTCTGAAGACAAACAGACATGTATGACATACCCATTCTAGGTACAGCTGCAATAAAAAAAACATCACAATGTAAGGGGAATCTCCCTGGCATCTTTTTCAAAGCTACTCTCCCCATTGATAGAATGTGATAGTAATGTGGTCTTTGAACATTCAACTGGCTGTAAAGTGTTGTGGTTTTCATTACTACCAAGCAATAGTTCCTTTGTAACAATTTAGGAATATCTGTAGGATTATTATGTATGGATTTGACTTGCATAAAAACCCAAAAAGATCTCAGTAAGCATGTCACTGTTAGTTGTTTCTCATTTTGCTTTATGGTACTCTTTACTGTAGTTTTAACATGACTTGGGAATTGATAAATTATTTTACTGGATGTGGTATGAATGTCACAAAAAGGAAGATGTTTCTGGTTTCCATCAAGGAAAGGTTTTCAGTGGCTGGATATTTCTTAAATGTTTGTTTCCTGGCAGCAGAAATTATAGGAGCATTTCTCTGGCCTGTCTCTCCTGCTGTTATCTTCCTTTCCAGTACAAGAGGAACAGTTCCTTTTTCTCTTGTTATTTCTTTTCCTCCCTTTCCTCTGCAATTTTCCATTCATCTTTTTTTGCATCTTAGGCTGCTGTGGTATGGAAAATGCAATAAGAGGCCAACCATCATTGTGGGACCAGTGATTTGGGGAAGAGCCCTAAACAGCACTTGCTCCCCCCACTGTTGTTACACAAGCAAGTAGAAAATGCTGCTACACAACAGGGCCATTTTTTTTTTCAGCAGAAAAATCTTCATTCTCTGCTTACACCCTTTCTCCTGCCCCTGATTTTTCTGCCTTAGCAGTTGAAGGCAAAATAATTGAAATAACGTTTGTTTTGGATAAAGGGAAGATAGAGTTGGGATACAGCAAATAAATCTTTGGGGAGACCTCAAAGGTTTTACCAGGATGGTTGCTTTCATCAATCACCAGTAATTGCTAAGAGCTAGCAGCCTGTAATGACAATACCAACATGGCAAGTCACAGTTGATAAGACTCCAAAAAGTTTTCACATTCATCTTATTCCAGGAATGTGTCTGGGATTGTACATAGAAGCTAATTCCACTTAGTTTTCAGAAACTGAGAAGCAAAACCAAATTAAGCTAGTCTGACAGGTAAATAATTGAGGAGAGGTGAAAACTCTACCCTAAACAATTACACTAGGAACAAAAGCAGAAACTTCCCCAGAGCTTCAGTATCTTGCCTAGGCTAGGATTGCTCACATTTTACCTGTTTAGACTCTAGCATATCTTTACTTAGCATATATAATTTTTTGGTTTTTTCTACAGCTTATTATCTTAGCACATTTTGATAGGGAAAGTTCAACAACTGTATTTGAAAAAAATTATAAAACACTTTGGAGGAGACATTTGAAACTGCTGTTAATTTTATAGGCCTGTGTTTAGAATGTGCTGAATTGTTTCACTTCAAAGTTAATAAATAAAATGTTAAACTCACTTCTAGTAGTTACAAAGAAAATGTATGCAAAGTTGCTTAAACAAGAAAAGGAATTTGTCAAAAGAAATACTTAATGATTTTATAATAAACGGTATTTCAGCCAAACTACTAAAATAAGTCAATATCAAGCTTTTTGGTTGTTCTGTCTGTATAATAATTTTAGAGAATGCACAAGGTCAAGGCTTTGCAAACTTGCTTCTGGTAGCAGCTCCCAGCCTTGTTCCAGTTCAAACACTGCTACAAAGTTGCCTGGTATAAATTTGTAATATACAGAACACAGTTTGGAAACAACAGTTTGGTTGTATTTAATACTAAGAGCTCAATTCTGCTTGGATATGAGAGCCATTAGATCAGCTGGGCAATGCTGTAGTAAACAAAAAACAAAAAAACAATATATTACACTAAGAAAGCAGGAAGTAATCTCTCATACTTTTATTTTTAGTGTTTTCCATTTCTGTGTCTGCTTTAGAAAAGTATGTGCTCTGGAGCATGATCAGTCTGAAGACTTTCTATCAATAGATCAACTCTGTTCATCTTGTTTATCAGGTGTCAATTGAAAACACATCTCCTTGCAGCTCAGTTCTCCTCATAGTAGCCTCTTACATGAAATACAAAATTTTGTTTCAGCTGGAATGGTAACTGTGGTTTGGATTAGGGAAATTCTTTCACTTATTAGGCATTCCTGTTTACTTCTGATTTTAGGATCAATGCAGAATTTGAAATCTCCTGTAAAACCCTTGCTGTAATGTTAAGTATACTATTAACAAGGTCAAAGAAGCCATTTTCCATAATACTTGTGCAGTCCTATATAGGTTGTACTGAGGCATGTTGGGCAGCTTCCCTCAATAAAACCCAACTCTGAAACAAAGTGCCTCTTTCAACTGGCTGTGTGCTATTAATACAACCTCGTAAAGAATGACCTCCAAAATAATTAGTAAAACCACAATTTATCATCTCCGTAGTTCTTCAATGACTACGCATCCTTTAAAAAGCAGGGTTATATCACTATTCCTGTTTATGAGAAGGGAGGGAGGAAAAGTGAAATGGCACAGTGACTTGTCTGACACGAGCATTGCCGGCAGTGGATACTGTATCTTCACTGATGTGGAAAGCACCTAGCTGTGGGTTGGATCGCCATTAGGGACATGGGGTAAGACTGTGTCTTTTCGCAATGCAGACATTTTACGATTATTTTAAGCATAAAGCAAACGACAACCCTTGTCCTGTTTACAGCAGACCACTGATTTACATATGACAGTAAGTTACATCACTTGCAATTTGTGAAGACAAGACAACTCAGTGTTTTGCTTTGATTACAGACAATAGGGTCAAAACACCACAAGTAAAAAAAAAAAGAAAGTGGTCACAGTCAGGCTTGGAAAGGAAAGTTTCAGGCTTGGAAAGCTTTTTTCCTCTATATGATTTTGATTAATCTTAGAAATGCACCAGTTGAACTGTAAATTATTTTCAAAAATCTTTGAACCCTGTGAACTCACCCTCCGTGAGGATGTTGAGGCACTGGAACAGTTTGTCCAGAGAGGCTGTGGATGCCCCACCCCTGGAAGTGTCCAAGGCCAGGATGGATGGGGCTTTGAGCAACCTGGTCTAGTGGAAGATGTCCCTGCCCGCGGCAGGGGGGTGGTTCGTGATCTTTAAAGCCCCTTCCAACCCAAACCACTCTGTGATTCTATGATAAACTCCAATCGCCTGCTCCACGGGAGAGCATTTACGGTTATCTA